TTTTTGGTTGTTTTTCTGTCTCTTTGTGTTTGTTTTGTGCCTCTTTGTGGCAGTTTTTTGTCTCTTTGTAGCAGTTTTTTTTCTCTTTGGGGGCTGTCTTGTATCTCTGTGGTTTTTTTTTGTGTGTGTGTGACTGTCCCACTCACCGTCCAGCCCCTCCACTCCTGAGTCGAGGCTGCTGACGCTGTGGGAGGAAGCAGAGAAACAGGCTCAGTTTGCTGCCGGGCAGCCGGTCGGCCTGCAGAGGACGGCCCCGTCTCACCGCTTCTGTCCCGGTTTGGGGGCTTTGCTCTTGAACTGGCGGCCCTCAATCTGCTTGAACTCGGAGGGGGAGGCTTTGGTGGCCTCTGCCGCGGATGTCGTGTTCATCTTGGAGACTTTGGTGCGCAAAGAAAGAGAGGAAAAGGTTAATTTTAGACAGAAGCTCCTCTTCTACCTGCATGCTCTCCTTTTATCCTCCACAAACTGATCAGATCTGCACCATCAAACTGGTTTGTTGATGTGATTCACTACTCTGTAATCACCAAAAATGCCTCAAAACCAAAAGGAAAAAGTTTTCTTTCTGGGCATGATGTTGGAAGTTAAAATCTCACATATGCAATTAGATTAAAGAGGCCAAATGAATAAATGGCTTCTGTATTTAATTAATTCTGGACTCGGCAGGGTGACATTAACTTAGATAAACGGCATTAAATGGAGCTTAAATGGTCAAATACTAGAACATATATATATTCCTTCTTTTTACATGTTTAAATCATCATTACAGTCACAGCACATAAAAACGAGACAAAATAAGGTGCAAAAATAACATAAAACGAGCCTTTTGTGCCACAAGAAGGTGGTCAGCCAAGCTTGAACCCTTTAAAAACCTTCATAAAGGCTTTAAAACTCCACAATTATCTCAGGATGGGCGAAAAAATAAAATAACAGGAGGATTTCTTTTCTGATAAAAGGGAACTCACTTGTTTTGCAGAATTCTCTCTTTGCAGAGAAGAAGCGAAAAAGCAGCTACAAGACAAAGAAGGAGTCTTCTCTCTTCTTGCAGTCTCTCTCTTCGGTCTCATCATCTGGGCTCCGGTTTTTATACGCCGGCTTGGATCAGTCTCTCCTCACAGCCGAATCGGATTTGGGGTCTTGGTTAATAACTAATCCTCATTAGTTTGAGATAACTGGAAGTTTCCCTGTGGGACTTCAGCTGTGGACGGTTGCTTGTGCCTTTAAAATGTTGACATTCAGGCTCGGATCGCTTTATTTGCTCCAGTTTGTCCATTAAATTATCAATAATTGTGTTTCTTGATAAATCGGAGCTGTTAAAATGGTTCACCGCTCAGTTCTAAAGAAACAAAAAGGAAGGAAATGACAATGGTTTTCATTGATGTTGGAGTTTTTCTCAGAGATGAATAAAGTACTGGAGTAGAGGTGTGGAGTAGAACTACAAGTACTATATAAAAAAAATTGACTTGAGGAAAAAGTTGAAGTGTTCTTTCAACACCATACTTAAGTGGAAGTACAGAAGTACTTCATAATTTTTTTTACTGAAGTATTGCAAGTAGAAATATTTTAAAAAATGCTACTCAAGTATACTGTGTATATTAAAAAAGGCAGTCAAATGTATCATAGATATTGTTTATATTATTTCAAACGTGTGAAAGGCCAAAAATGCCAGAAAACAAAACACAAATAAGCCATCTCAAAAGGCCGGAGGGGCAGTCCGAAGAGCAGCAAAACGACAAACCTGGACAAGTTAAGCCTATTGGTAAACCTAATGATGGAACAGCCCAGAAGCATCAACATGAAGGATCAAGCTCTTCCATCAACAGGTTAACCACTGCCTCCAGGTCATCTTAATCAGGTTTGTTTCTGAACCAGCTACTTGGAATTCCCCCAGTAGGTCACGACAATTTCGCAATATTTCCGGAGGCTTTTTTTTTAAAGGCTATACTTGATCGCTCAAATCGGTCAATGATGAGCCAGCTCGACAAACCCTGACAGAGCTATCTATCATTACGTTTAAATATCAGTAATGATTCAGCCCGTGAAAAATCGATCAGAGTAAAAGTATTAGATTAATCAAAAATATGTAGTGGAGTAAAAGTAAAAGTAGGGAAAAATGTATATACTCCAATAAAGTACAGCTATTGGTACTTAAGTACAGTACTTAAGTAGTTCTACTTCGTTACTGTACATCTCTGGTTTTTCTTCCTTTGTTGGGTTTTTGTCGTCAGACTGATGACAACACTGGAAAAGCGTGGTGCGCACGTGGTGGAACAGCTTGTGTGGTCGGTATCAGGATGAGTCACGGGGATAATAGGAGCTTGCATAACCAGGTGAGTCTGCTCACCCCGAACAGGCTGACAGGACGTTTTTCTCCCAGGACCAAAAGAAACGACATGGTAACCTGTTTAAAACAACCTGCGTAAAGAAAAATGCTTCTTTTCCTTCTTTTTTTTGAACAGAATTCAGACATAATAATGTGATTTAAGGAGCGAACGCAGGGCAGTTTGGTAGATTTTTGTGTCTCTAATTAGATGGAACGCCATCTTGTCCCTATGATTAGTGAATGAATGATGCAGTCAGTTGTGTTCCTGTTTGTTCCAACACATTTTGCCCCTCATAGAGATCAATCGACCATAAAGAGACGAAAAACAGCCACAACGACGCAAAACAACCATAAAGAGACATAAAAACAACCACAGATACACAAAACAGCCACATAGAGACACACAAAACAAGCACAAAGAGACACAAAACAACCACAGAGATACAAAACAACAAAGAAACACAAATTTACCACAAAAAAACACAAATCTACCACAGAGACACAAAACATCGGCAAATAGACACAAAAAAATCATAAAGACACACAAAACAATCATAAAGACATACAAAACAAACACAAAACAACCACAAAGACAAAAAACTACCACAAAGAGACACAAAACAGCCACAGAGACACAAAACAACCACAAAGAGACAAAAAACTACCACAAAGAGAAACAAAACAACCATAAAGAGCCAAAAATCTACCATAAAGAGCCAAAAATCTACCACAAAGAGACACAAATCTACCACAGAGACACAAAACTACCACAAAGAGACAAAAACTACCACAAGGAGACACAAAACAGCCACAGGACATAAAACAACAACAAAGAGAAACAAAACAGCCACAAAGAGACACAAATCTAACACAAAGAGACACAAAACAACCATAAAGAAACACACAAAACAACCACAAAGAGACACAAAACAACCACAGGGACACAAAACAATAACAGAGACAAAACTACAAAGAGACACAAAACTAAACAGAGACACAAAACAGCCACAAAGACACGAAATAACCACAAAGAGACAAAAACTACCACAAAGAGCCACGAAACAACCATGAAGAGACAAAAAACTACCACAAAGAGACACAAAAGAACCACAGAGACACAAAACCACCACAAAGAGACATGAAACAAAGCTCCCCGCCTGCTCATAGGACCAACTGTGTGTTAGAGAGCACAAATTGTTTTCAGTTTGGGCAAAAAAGAAAAACGATCAGAAAGAGTTCAGAAATACGAACACATCATCATTTATTGAACACTAATTGGCATCAATGTCACAGGTTATCATCACTTTCTGCTGCTGTGGAGCACGAAACTACCTCAAAACAAACACAAAACAGACACACACGCCCCCTCTGTCCGGATGTGGAATTTGGGAGGCTCCGGTTGCGGATGGTGCGTTCACGGCTGTGGGAATAAATTTAATTAGACTCCCGGCTCATAGGTTTCTGGGACCATGCCAGCTAATCCCCTTACTGTCTTACCTCTGACATAAAGGTAAAAGCTGTCGGTTATGGCGCTTATGTGAGCAGCTAAAGATGCTCTAATAATAAACTAAACTAAGACTTTATGTAAAAATAAAGTCTGCTGGAGCCTGAAACTGGGCACGATCAAAAACGAGCATCTGTCCCAGATTTAAGGCCCAATGTCCAGTCAAAGAGTTTAATGAGTCTTATTTTTACATTACAAAAGAAATAACTAAGTGTGTGAGATTATTTCTACACTTTAAAATCCTTATGAAAGAAAAATCATTTTTTTATGAAAGTTTTCTATTTTTTATTTTGTGGCCCTTTTACCAAAAGAAGGAAAACAAAACAAAACATTTTGTTTATTTGCCATTTATAATTTCTGGGACCATCTGCATCCTCCTGTTGTTTGTATATTATTGTATTTAATATATATTTTATATATATTGTATATTTTTGGTGGTAAAAACATGAAGAAAATCTTCACGCTGTTTATTTTCCTGAAAATAAAAACATTTTAACTGCATTTAAGAAGCCTAAAATGAAAGTCAAACCTTCTTTTTGTAAGGGGCTTTGGATAAAGGCATCTGATGCAGAAATGTAGATGTAAAGTGATTTTTTTTTTCATAGTTAAAACATGAGAAAAGGAGAAGCAATCACAGCAGGATGCAGCTTTATGGCAGAGCCTCACCTGTCGAGCCTTCTCCATAGTCTCATCTCAGCTTTTCCAAACCGGCTCGTCCCTCAAAGCTGTTGATGGATCGTTTTCAGGGATGATCTCGTGACTGTGGGCAGCTCCTGATGTGATCTGTGTGTTTGATAACAGATCTGACCCGCCTACTCTGGATCGATCGGGTCGTCCTCAGCCGGCCCGGGACAGAGATGCTCTCTGTCTTATATTTAGAGGCAGAGGTTCAGGGTTTTGATTGGATTAAATGTGATGACCTGAGATATCAGCGGCAGAGGTTAATTTGGGCTGCTTCCCTTTGGGGTTTTGTACATTTTTAACATAAACTCACCGGTTAAAGTTTAGTCTGATGAAGACTTTTAGGAGCTCCTCTGAGTTATGGATTGTTGGAAAATTCAGTTCATCTCTGCACTGTGGACACATTGTGGTCTGTGGTGATAATAGCCCCCCCCCCCCCCAGCATAAATAGATAAAAATAAATAAATAGATAAACAAACAAAACAAAAAATAAATAAAGAAATGAATAAATAAATATTGTCCTAGGGTTTGCGTTGCACAAAGCAGGTAACAATGTATATAATTGCAATAACATAATTGTATATCCATATCTATATCTATCTATATCTATATATAAAGTTGTTTATATATACAGTTGTTTTTCTGTTCATTGTTGTCAGAATAGACACAGAGACGACCACAACTAATTGGCACAACGCAGAAGAGAACCGGCTACATTAATAAAAAGAAGAAGCCTCTGTTTCTGCAGCATTAAGTCAGAAAACTTGAATTCTCTAAGTGAAAAACTGTCATCCTCTAAGAGAAAACTCTTATTCTATGATAAATAAATGTAATTCTCTAAGAGAAAACTCTATTCCCTTGAGAAAAACTATAATTCTCTAAGAGAAAACTCTTATTCTTTAGGAGAAAAATTGTAATTCTTTAAGAAAAAAACGAATTCTCAAAGAGAAAAGTCAAATTCTTTAAGAAAAAAATTTCTAATTATTTAAGAACAATTTTTTATCTGAGAGAAAAACTATAATTCTCTAAGAGAAAACTGTAATCATCTCTAAAAACTCATGTAAGAGAAAGCTGAGAGGCTCAGAAGTGTCCAGCCTCTCAGCTTTGGCGCCCCCTGGTGGAACAAAGACAAACTGCTGACTGGGTGTCAGGTGGTGAAAAGAATCCAAACAGCAATTTTTAAAACTTGAGCAACTTTATCGGATCTCAAACAACGAGTACAAAACATCACAATGTAATCAGCTTATTCCTTTTATCTCTCACACGCAGAAAGGACTGTCTGGACGGTGCCCCGTTCTTCATGTTTTTGAGGCGTATTTCACATGTTTCCATTCAGCTACATTCACAAGTCGGAGACGGCGAGCGGGCGTCTGCGGCTGCTACTCCACGATGCCGGCGTTGCTGAGTAGAACGGCCGGGCCGGTTTTCCTGATGAATTGCTGCAGGCCGCACTGCCTCAGCTCCTTATTCAGCTCCTCCAGCTGCTCCAGCCTGTCCTGGAGGACCCAAAAAGAGGCCACGTCAGCAGAAAACAGGCCCCGGCCGACCTGAAACCTGAAGGCCCACAGGGTTTAAACAAATCAGGGAGTCGTACTGTGTGAAATAATCCTCTAAAGCAGGGGTGCTCAATACGTCGATCGCAATCTACCAGTAGATCTCCAAGGTCCTATTGGTAGATCGCAGGACAAGGTGAGGTGACATTGTCATGAACTGACGCTATACAAATAAAGTTGAGTTGTTTCGAATAAAAACTAGACGTCAGCCTATCAGCCATCCCATCACTTGATTGATCCACAGGACAACCAGCCAGATGACATCTGATTTTTTCCCGTACAATAAGGTCACTGTGCGTGCTCAAACAACAGCTAAGCTAACAAGCTAGTCGTTAGTTACGTCCTAATTTTTCACTGTTTTTTTTCCCTCTTAAACGTAAGATAAGTTATGAAAATGAGTGGGGGAGCTGGACCAAGTAAGAAGAAAAAAAACGTATCACTTGGGATGGGTTGTAAGAATCCTCAATATATTTCTCAATAAATATAATGGGTAGATCATTTTGACTTGGTCACTTTAAAAGTAGCTCCCATGCTGAAAAAGTGTGAGCACCCCTGCTCTAAAGCCACCAATGCCGACTCCCCGCGTTCTGGGAACCGTTGGGCACATAATTGAGAACGTTACTATGGAAACGTTTGGAGTTTGGAACCCAGCGACTGACAGGCTGCTGGAAAATCCAACATCTGGGAATTTAAAGAATGATTTGCCCCACAAAGTAACATGTTTTGCAGGTTAATGCCCTAAAAACATCTAAAAAACAGGGAGTCCTGCCTCAGGATGACTGATCTTTGAAGGCTGAATGGATTCCTGAGGAAAACGGGAGGACCGACGACTCTTTTAAGTTATCGAGCTGAAGGCTTTTGGCCTTCGCCTCTGCTGTGATGCATCGACTCAAAGGCAGATTAGGAACGTTTGAAGATCAGGCGGCTTCTTCTTGGACAGCGGCTCCGGTTAAAGATTGACTGAGCTGCATATGAAAAAAAATTCTGGAGCAAAGGGAAACGTTTCGTACTGATTTTTGTCACTTCTGTATAAAAAAACTGTGATTTTTGCACAAATGTTTGGGCAAAATTTAGAAAAATTGAAGGCTTTGTCCACCAAAAGATGGACAAAGTGTCTGTTTGTTATTAGATTGCTCGGTTTTTAAGTTTTTTAATGATTATTTTTATTATTAGACTTGAATTGGTTTGATCCCATCCCATGGCATGCAAATGACTGTGTTTTTTAAAGTTATTTCTTCTTTTTATACTCAAATTTTTGGGTTTATTTACAGCTCTGGAGTAAAAACACTAAAGGAACCATCAGAGGACTCTAGCTTCAGTCCATTTTCTCAGTTTTCAGCCCCTTTTTTTGGAGTTCTGGGACTGCGAAGCTGCCCGAACTGCTTCGTTTCACCCTGAGGTTCTGCTGGCTGCTGGTTTTTGCGCCTGCCGTTGTACCTTTACCCTTTCCTCGGCGGCCTGCAGCTCCCACGCCGCCCCCGACAGCGCGGCGTCCAGCTCCTCCCCCAGCTGGAGCCGGCTGTGGAGCTCCTGGCTCAGGGCGCGCAGGGCCTCGTCCGCCTGCCGGCCCTCCGGCTCCGGCCGCTGCCTCTGGGACTCCAGCTGCAGGTCCAGGTGTGAAGAGCGGGCCTGGAGCACCTTTATCTCGTAGCTCTGGTCGTCCAGGGACGAGTGGATCTGCTGCAGGCGCCTCAGCATATCTGTCGGGAGCAGCGTCTGCACAGTTAGCTGCAGGAAACAGGCAGGAAACAGAAAGGAAACAGGCAGGATACAGGCAGGACACAGGCAGGACACAGGCAGGAAACAAGCAGGAAACAAGCAGGATACAAGCAGGAAAGAGGCAGGACACAGGCAGGAAACAAGCAGGATACAAGAAAGAAACAGGCAGGAAGCAGGCAGGAAACAAGCAGGATGCAAGCAGGAAACTGGCAGGAAACAGGTAGGAAACAAGGAGGGAACAGGCAGGAAACATGGAGGAAAATAGCAGGAAACAGGCAGGAAACAGGCAGGAAACAGGGAGGAAAAGAGCAGGATTCAGCAGGAGACAGGCAGGAAACAGTAGGAAACAGCAGGAAACAGGCAGGAAACAGGCAGGAAACTGGCAGGAAACAGATAGGAAACAGGTAGGATACAAGCAGGAAACAGGCAGGAAGCAAGCAGGAAACAGATAGGAAACAGGCAGAAACAGGCAGAAACAGGCAGGAAACAAGCAGGATCCAAGCAGGAAACAGGCAGGAAACAGGAGGAAACCAGAGGAAACAGGAGGAAACAGGAGGAAACAGGAAGAAACCGGCAGGAAACAGGAGGAAACATGAGGAAACAGCAGGAAACAAGCAGG